CCGCGGCCTGCGCACTCGGAGGACTGGCCGCCGTCGTTCGTCTCGCCTTCCCAGTCGCCTTTCCCTTTGGCGCCGACGATGATGGGTCCGCTAGTTCGTCAACGTCCATGGCGTTGTCGGCCGTATCGCCAGGCTTGTCGCCGCCGCTGCCACCGGCCGCGCCGCTTCCCTTCTGCCATGGGGTGCCAGGACCGTTCTTCTGCTTGGTAAGGACGAGACCCATCTGGTCCAGCCCTTTCTTCCACAGAAGGAGCTGCGGATTCGGTTCGCCGTCCACGTACCACTGCGGGACAGGGTGCGCATCCCACTCCGGCTTCGGCTTGTCGAGGTCCCACCACTGGAAGTGGGCGTGTTTCGCATCCGGAGACCCATTCCTGTCGATAAAGGAGTCCATGAGCAGACGATACTTCTCGCGGAACTCGCCGATAGGCTTCGACCACCACTTTGACCCTGGGTCGTTGTACAGGAGTTGCGCAATGGCGACCTCGTTCAGCAAGTAGACAACCATTGGAACCAAGACGCGAGTCGCAGCCTTGGGCACAGCCGCAGCGGTCACGCTGCCCACGCCCTCCACGGTGTCCGCCTCAGCGATGTCAGCGGTGAATCCCGCGACGGGGCCCGCAGACGCGTTCCCTTTCTTACCGGCAGCCGCAGCGGGGGCGGCGCTCTTCTTCTCCGCCGTGCTGGCTGTCGTGTGCATGAGCGCACGCATGGCGGGGGTGTCAAGACTGATACCGGTGTCCTGGAGGAGGTCAGGTGTCTTCATCGCGATGGCGTCGGTGACGCATCTGAGGTTTGACGAAAACATCTTGACGTGCTGCCTGATGTCCAGCTTGGGGAAGACGGTCCCTGCTGGCGACACCGCGAATTGCTTCACAGCGTTGTCATGGTCCTGCGCGAGGGCGCTGGAGTCCGCGCGCGCCTTCTCCTCTGACTTCGCCTTCCCCTTCCCCTTGCCGTTGCCTTTCACGGTGAACTTGGCCGCCTTGGATACCACAGTGGGGACGTCCTGCGTGAGCGGCATGTAGGTCATCCTGAGCGAGTCCCGCGTCAGGGCACGGAACATCGAGACGGATGCCGGCGGGCTACCAGAGCAGTCCTGGAGCAACGCGACGAAGGTGTGTCTATCGCCGAAGAATTCGCGCGCAAGCTGCACACCGAACCATCAACATACAGAGACAAAGAGGTAGGGAGCGCAAACCACGTACTGCCCAATGAACGCTGTCGGACTGCGTGAAGTCCCGGACCGAGCCAGTCTTGAGGTACGGCGTATTGACCGTCGCCATCAGCGCATGGAGCGTCTTGTCTGCCTCAACCTTGTCCTTGGTGTTGGTGGCCGCCGACGCGTTGGAATTGATATGCGGTGAGTACGCCGTCGGTTCGAACATGTGCGCAACCTGAAGATAGGGACTTTGAGCCACCACACGCACACCACCATGACGGTACCACACTCACCCGTTCCCACCCTCGCGAGTACATCCCGACCTGGGCGCCGACCAGCGAGATGGCATGGCACGTCAACAGCGGCAGCTCCGGCGTGAACTCAGCATCATCCAACACCGTCCAGTTGTAGTACGCGTATGCGAGACGGCCAATGACATGTTCCATATGCTTCTTGTGCGCCTTGACGCGTTTCTTAGCCCAAGCGCGTTTCTTGCTCCGAGGCGTCTGCGGGTCTCCTTCCGTCGCCAGCAGATCCTCATCATCGTCCTCCTGACCTAGCGCACCCCCCGCCTTCAACCGCAGCTGGTTGATGAGCGCAGAGCTGTATTGGTTCATCATGGAGAAACCCTGCTTGCAACGCACCCCGAGGGAGGCGGCATCCACGAGGTGGTCGGTCGCGAACTGGTCGACGGTGTCTAGCATCTCGTCGGTCCATAGCTCGTAGTTGGGCAACTGCGCGCCGCGCGTGTACTCGCGCTGAAGACGGTCGGCCGACCGGGCGACCGTCGACGAAATCGCACCATCCACCTCGTCCAAATCGTGCGCGACGGCGTACATCGCGAGTTCCGTCTTCCGGTCGGCTGCAGCATTCTCGGACGCGTTGAGCGGGGCTTGCTTCATTCGCAGGTACCTATCCCTGGACACGCGTGCCTTGTCGTATTCGTCGCAGATCTCCTCGACTTCTTTGATGCCGTGGAAAGACTCCTTGGAGCCGATGACACCCATAACCCACTGCATCCGCATCATCGCGAAGAGCGTGATCTGGGTGTGTACCAGGTATCAGCACCCATAACGCACTCAGACAGCCCGAGCACTTACCCCACCTCCTTTCGCAAACACGCGTCGCCAAGAGCTGACGGCGAACAGCGCGCACCGGTCGTAGTAATGACGCCCGAACCCCCGCGTTTTCGTGGGATCGGACCCATCGTTGTACAGAGGGAGCGAGGCGTCGAGGATGGGCGTGAGTGAGCACAGGAAATGCCGGATGGCGGGGTTGCGGTACATGTGCGTGAGGGCCGTCTGCAGCATGCTGCCGGACGTGCCTGGTGGCCGGATGTTGTGGACGATGGTACTTAGCCGGATGTGCGCCTGAAGCAAGTCCTTGGCCGACCCGGTGGATCGCCATTTGTACAATTCGCGCATGTTCTGGCGCATTTGCTCCTCCGGCGTCTCCCCCTTGCTCGGATACGACTTGTTCTGTGCATGCCACTCCGCCGCTTTCCTGTCGCCCAGCGACCCTGAACAAAGCAGGTTAACGTGCGTCCAACCACGTACACGCCCCCGCCGTCACAGACAGCGCACTCACCATACTTATATACGACGCATAGCCAGCATCCGTGCTTGCGAAGGCGGTCGTACAGCTTTTCGCGCTTCGTGCGCAACCCCTTCGACCTCGGACTGTTCTCTCCTATCGCGGCGAGCTCCGCATCGGTTTTCGCCATGGTCTCCACGTACGACTGGAGCATCTGCTTGCTCGCCTCGATCCGATGCTGCCCGATGAGCGTGTACGCGGCGTGTGTTCGCGGCGCGTCGCTGTGCTCCCCCGCGCCGAGCTCCCGTGGCTTGAGCTTCACCCACGGCAGTTGTTCGGGATGGTGCCAGTCTTGGTTCGCGGGGAAGTCGAACGCCTCCTCGGCAATCGCAACCTCAACCCGATGGGGATGCAGTAGATTTTGGTACGTACTCGTGTTGAAGTTCGCAACCAATGCGTCGACGTTTTGAGTGTCCAGGGACCGCGTGCTGAACGTTTTATGGACACTTACCAAGTTACACTCCGTCTGGAACATGTCCAGCGTCGGTAACAGCGCATACCCATACATGGCCTGCGACATCTGGCGCGAGTACTCCAGGTATATCTCCTGCGCGGCCGTCTGCATCTCGAGAATCTGGTAGTACGTACATCATGCCCATGTCAGCGTAGAAACGGCACCACACAGCGCAAGCGAAGCGCACCTCCGACGCATCCTCACCCAGGTCTTCCAGGGCTCGGTCGATCTCCTGTTCCGTCGACGACGGCCCGGCCACAGCTTGACTACTTGACGAAGCCATTGTGAGCAGTGCGCGGTAGTACTGTCAAGCAAACCCTGTGAAGTGCGCAGACGCGGATGAGGGGAAAAGATCAGAGAGAGCACAGCGCACCTTCCAGGGACCCACGAGCATCACGCAGCATGGCCACCATGAGCTCGGAAAGGGGACCGCGAGGCCGCGCGCGTGATGATGCCGAACGCGCGGTTTTCTGGAAAGCAGGGACACATCAGAAAACTCGCAAATGTTCCAGTCGGACGCAACATAGACCGCACCGCGCACACGTGCAAAAACCCCAGAGAGTACGGGGCGCACTCAATAAACATCGATCTGGGGGATGTCGCGCGATCGCGCGAGATCCCTTTTTGGGCCGTCCTGACATTCACACCTCAACATATGCGCGCACAGGGGGTAGGAGTACTACTACATGAAGATCGACAGCGCAGCGCACGACGCACTGATTTACCGACATCAAACGCTGCCTCCACCGCAAGGCTCGGCTGATGCAACACGAGGCCGACATGGCGCACCGCGCAAACTCGCCGCTTCATTCTCATTACCAAAACGCGAAGCGACTCCCATGTTGCTCGCACTTCATCATCGCGCTCACACTTCATCATTGCATTCGCACCTCATCATCGCGTTCGCACCTCATCATCGCGCTCGCACTTGCACAGTAGCTGATCGACGATCCCTGCAGATCCTCGTGCCGAAGTTGCGCCTGCCAATCGGTAAGATTCAATTATGTTCGGACCGCACCGAGGTCAGCAGATCAAGATAGAGCGCTTCTCGATCAATCGGCGATTGGCCGATCGCGTCGCCGCTACGTGGGAGCCGCGACCACCGAGCGTCTCGGACTTAGGACAGCGCGCGGCACTTGACTCTGTCGCTCCCCCTTCCTTCTTTCATCTGGCAACCCCTCCTACAACATGGTCGGCACCCTGACTTTCCAAAACCTTAGCGCGACCTTGAAGAAGTTCCACAAGGACTCCGGACTCGCAGCGGCTGGCAAGCGACCCGTCACCCCATTCTTCTGCGAGGATCCGCCGGACGCACTGGAATGGCAACCCGAGGAGATGAAAGCGCTGAATAAGCTGATCAAGGCGTTCGTCGACGAGCGGTGGACTCTCCAGGCCGTCGAGGTCGTCATCCAGGACCACATCATCGTGCGTGAATCACAGGCCCATCGAGCGCCGCCCTGACTGACATGATTCCACAGACCGATGACTGGTTCACAGTCCTCGAGAATGTATCCATCACCCGGCTGCCTTATGTCGAGGCGGCCATGCAGTATGTGAGGTCTACCCGCGAAGGCGAGGTGCGCACTCTCCAGCGCGTCCTCATCGACATGAAAATCGAAGCTGTCCCTTCAACCATCACCGACGACTTCACCATGCCCCACCTCAACATCTTTATGCCATGGATAGGTAAGTCGTCCCAATTGACGCATTTCGCGCAACTAGCTCATCACACGTTGATTCACAGCCGGTGATCGGTTGAGGAGTGAGTAGCGCATAGTAGCACTCATCTATGGGCTAACATGCGTGTGTGTGCAGTTTCCAACGTCCTTGAGCCCGACAGTGATCGCAGCGTCTCACCGGAGTCCGACCGCCCCGACAGCCCTGCGCGCAACAGCGCCGCTCCGGATGAGGGGGAGGCAGTGGACGCGCAGGTCGAGGATGTGCTGGGCGACGACGCGCAGCTTGAGGATGCGACGGGCGGTGACGCGCAGGTCGAGGACGCGCCGGGCGAGGATGCGGATGGGGCAAAGGACGCGCTGGGCGACGACGCGCAGGTCGAGGACGTGCTGGGCGACGACGCGCAGCTTGAGGATGCGACGGGCGGTGACGCGCTGGTCGAGGACGCGCCGGGGGAGACTGAACCGGGCGAGGACGGTGAGGACCGCGATGACCGCAACGACGACGACGAGGCGACCGGTGAATACCTCGCACGACGTGCAAGCCCCGCCACGACTGACATCCATGCAGCCCGCCTGCAACACCACCCGTATGCGCAACGCGCACGCGAGGCCAACGAGGCGCGGGAGCGTGAAGACCGACCCGCCCTGCCCCATACGAGCGCGTCGCCTGTTGACGGCAAGGTCGAGGTCGAGGCGGCAGATGAGAGCGAGGTCGAGGTGGAGGAGGCAGATGAGAGCGAGGTCGAGGTGGAGGAGGCAGACGAGCTCGTCGACAGCGAGGACGACGAATCGCCGACCGGACCCAAGGGCAAGGGGAAGGCCCGAGGGGGAAAACGCATCAGCAGCAATTCGGCGCGGAAGGCACGGGCAGCAGGCAAGGGCAAGGCGTCGGCCGTGCCCAAGCGTGAGGACCCGGAGGTGGACAACTCTGCGCCCAAGTGGGAAGGGCAGTGGACCCTTCTCATGCCCGCAACTGAGAAGAACGACAACGTGCACGCGAAGGTGAGTTTCTGTTACGACAACACGTACTTCGCTAACTCTCTTACAGTTCATGGGCAAGTGGCGATGTGCGCAGTGCAAGAAGAGAGGCGCCACCGAATGCGTCATCCGCGGCCTCGGACGCAGGTGCGTCGCCTGCATCACCGGGCATAGATCTCCATGCGACATTAAGGTAAGTACAAACCTCTCTGCAAAACCGTTTAGGACACTGATTAAAGACTATGAAGACCTACTACGAAGCAGAGGCCGTCTACGTGAACGACCAGAAACACGGTCGATACGCTGACCTTCCCCCCGCGCGCTCGACCACTGCCCCCACGACCTCAAAGATCAACCCGCGCAAGCGGATGGCGGTCTCTTCGAGCGAAGAAATGTCGGACAGCCCGGGCGAGGACGACATCGTAAGTCGCACTCCACAAAGCGGCAAGGCGAAGACGGCTGCGAAGCCCAAGACGAAGGTCGCCGCACCCGTCTCCAGGACGTCGGCGAAATCGGCGACGGCCACGCCGAACAAGCGCAAGAAAGTCGACGCCACGCCGGAGGCCAAGCCGTCATCGGCGAAGATATCGGCGCGCGCATCAAAGCCTGGGCCGTCCCAGAAGACGGCCGACAACAAGAGCACGCGCGCCGAGGCAAGGGAGACGATAACCATCGACTCTGACTCCGAGGATGACCAGCCCCTACGCGCCTTAGTTGCCGGTGCGGCGAGCAGCCCCGACGCTCCCGAAGACGCGATGGATATCGATGAGCCGCAGGTCGTCGACGGCAAAGGGAAGAGTAGGGCGGGCGACCTTGGGCAGCTGCCCGAGGCGGTCCAGAACGACAGCGAGCCAGACGACCACGGTTCCCCGTGGCACGGCGATCGGAACGCGGTAGTGACGATGGGCTGGCTCGGTACGCGGTGGAAGGAGCTGATGGAGCAGATCCGGGACCGCATCGAGGACGAGGTGGAGAGCGCGGTGGGCTACCACGTATGTATCCGCCTTGCACTCATTATCATTCCACTAACGATGCTCTCACACAAGATTGCGAAGATGCAAGCTGCGTCCAGCAAGCCGCAGGTCCCAGCTCACCAACCGCCCGAGGACCTGGTGCGCCGGCCGGGGTGGTACCCCAAATACGACGGGCCGAGGCCTACGCCCATTAACAACCTGAAGACCGAAATGCTCGCGTCGAGGACCTCGAACGCGGCTGCTCCCTCTTCCTCGAGCGGCGCTGCGCGGTCGTCCTCAAATCCCACAGTGTCGAGTTCTAGGAACGCCGCAGCGTCATCGTCAAAGGACGACATGGCCGCATTCGCGCCCGACACCCCGACCCCGAAGCAACGCGGCGGCGGCTCGACAGCTTCAGCGTCGCGCAAGACCACGGGTGCCAAAAAGGCGGTCCACAAGGACTAGGACAGCTCGCGATGTGTGATTGTACGGACAAGGTTGGTCTTGATAGTATGTACATACACAAACGCCGTGTCTTGCTGGGCTGCGTCCCATGTCTTCTGGTCTCTAACGCTATCGCACCGTGTCGCGTGTCGTCAGCGCATATCTTGTCATACTCGTATTGTTCTCGCTCGCTCGTCGTCGCTGCCGTGTACCCAGGTCGTACTGTATCATACTGTTGCAATGTCATAACGTGTACCATGTCAGCTGGCGTGCCCCGTGTATATGGATGTCAGGGGATCTCGCGCGGGTGCGCAGGATCCCCTGGAACGTCCTCAGTACATGGTGCGGCGCATACATACGGGTCTGAGGGGATCTCGCGCGGGTGCGCAGGATCCCCTGAGACGTCCTCAGTGCGTGGTGCGACATACAATATGGCTGTCAGGGGATCTCGCGCGGGTGCGCAGGATCCCCTGGAACGTCCTCAGTACATGGTGCGACACATACATATGGCTGTCAGGGGATCTCGCGCGGGTGCGCAGGATCCCCTGGAACGTCCTCAGTACATGGTGCGACACATACATATGGCTGTCAGGGGATCTCGCGCGGGTGCGCAGGATCCCCTGAGACGTCCTCAGTGCGTGGTGCAACATACACATATGACTGTCAGGGGATCTCGCGCGGGTGCGCAGGATCCCCTGTGACACCTTGCGTGCGTGGTAAGACATACAATATGTGTCTGAGGGGATCTCGCGCAGGTGCGCAGGATCCCCTGTGACGTCTTGCGTGTGTGGTGCGACACATACATATGACTGTCAGGGGATCTCGCGCGGGTGCGCAGGATCCCCTAGGACGTCCTCGGTACATGGTGCAACATACACATATGGCCGCCGTGGTACGCTGACGCGACACTGCATTGCGTTATGCGCGGTGCGGAGAAGTCCCTTCGATTGTGGTATACCAAACGCATCAGCCACTGCCCAAGATAGACGGATACTCTATGCTACATGTTCAAGACAATACTCTGTACTACAGTTGTCTACTTCCGAGCACGCTTCGCCTTCTTCTGCTTGTCTCGCGACCCTTGGGATTTGCGCTTGCGACCACCGGAAGGACCGGGCACGGAATCTACAAAGAGCTTGAGTTTGACAGCAGCTGCGGGGAGGACAACTTACCAGCAGACGCGTTCGTCAACGCCGCGGACTTGTTAGACTCAGAGACCACGCTTTCCGAGCCTGACCTTTGGGAACGCTGACTAGGGTCCGGTGTCGCCTCACGAGAGTCCGAGTCATCTTCTAGCGACTGTTTCTTGAGCGCATCCATAGTTTTGCCCTGTATGATTC